ACAAAGTTGGTGGTTTTGTCAAAATAAGTTGCACAGAAAGAGTGGAGGATTATTTGCACTAAATTAATTACAATTATTCTGTTTTACAGGACTCAGGTGAAATACAAAGCTTTGGTTAAATGAATAGGAAAAAAATAACATTTAGAAATACTACAACAAAGGAAATTATGTGTTTTATAAAGTTTCATCTGTGTTTCAAAGGAAACTCATGGCTAGGCCACAGCTACCTATTCTCCTCTAAATGTTTGTCATCAACTCACATGAGCTGCTTACAATACAGTGATAGTTTGTAACTACTAGGTCTACTGGAAAAAAAGTATAAGGTCTGGTGGGAAAATGCCTTAAGCCTGCCTAGACTTTTTTTTTTTTTCCTGGAAGGAAGTTAATAAAAAGCTTTAAATGCAGACAACAGGTTAGAAGTTGGGGCTAGTGGGAATACACATTATGAACACCTTGTCCAACCATTCTAAACAATTTTTCAAAGTCATAAATGAACCAGTGAACCTAAACTGCAGGTCAGAGAATGCAGCTAGATGAAGCAGCCCACTGAATTCTTCTTACATCTTTTAACAGTATTCATTCACAGAGAGGGGCTGGGAGGGGGTTGAGTTTTTATAGAGGATGGAAATTCAGTCACTTTAGTGATTTGAAGGAGATTTTCTCCAGTCCACAGATTGAACTCTAAAGGAGATTTTCACTATCTTTATCTAGGGACTAACACCTAACCTACAGATATAGTCTTTAAGGGGATTAAAGAGTCTTTAGGCCATTCAAGCAAGTGGAATCCTGTTATCAAATTCTCCATTAATATTTCAAAAACTTTCTCAATGTTATAATTGAGGGTAAGAATCATCAGCTTTAATAGTGCTAAACGAATTCAAAAGTTTCTTTTCTTTATTTTTGATGTTTACACTGAGAACAATAGAGCTTCACTTGTCAGCCTGCTGGGCTGCCCACGGAACTGTTTTCAATACCCTGGGAGGCCTTCAGCAGCATACCCACATGGATACCATATAATTTTTGATAACTGGCTCATTAAAAAGACTTCTGTAAAAGAGCATAGTTTGGGCTATTCCAGACACATTGCAGCAGCATGATAAAAGTGTATGTAAATAACAATTCAGAGTGGGAGAACTGACTTGTCTCTAAAGAGAAATAGGCTCTGATATTGTTAATGAACAGTGTTATGAGGTAGGGTGATCAGATACATGACCACAGCAATTAATCTCAGAAAGCATTTTATGCTGTGGAATAAAACATTGTACTTTGGAGGAATTCAGCAGATGTTATAATTACTCCATGCTACCATGTGGAACAAAACCTAGCAACTGTGCCTGCTATGAAAATGAACTTAACTAATGAAATCACTCACTGTGCCTCTACCAGCATTAAAACACTAATGTGTGTCATTCATAGTTCAAAAGAGAACATCGCACAAGTTTCTGTCCAAAATTGTATTCCTGGTTCAAAGGCAATCAGCTAGGATGCCAGAAGAGCTACACATTGACAAACGTTAAAATAAAAACAATTAATCTGTTATCACTCCTCTGCAAATCTTGCTTCAGGAGTGCAAAACTATGCAGTCAATAGAGTGACTAAAAGCTTGGATGGCCTTATTGATTTTATCGGATATTCGTGTCAGGCTGTTGGAGAGAACCCCCCCGATTTTTGTTTCCTCACTTCCCTGTTCATGTATATACAGTAGAAGCTGGCATCTGGAAGAATCATTCATTATGCAGCTTGGAAATCCTGTAGAAAAATGGAAAAAATCTAATTATGCTTTCAAAACTGATGAAAACTGTTACATTCTCCTGTCTCTGTTCTGGGATCTGTGTCAAACATTATTCCAGTGATAGACTGAAGGATACATGCCCATGTCAAGTTAAATGCCTCTTGATTTGAGAAACAATGCTACATTTCAAACTCCATTTTCCATGTTACTTTCAGTGAGGCACTGAACATCTTGTGGAGGAACTACTGCAAAGCAATGAAAGAGCCATCAAGAGCCATTAACACTGGATGGATCCAGTGAGAGGAGTAACTGGCTTTCTGCCAGGATAGTCTGATGTGAGAGCCTTCTGTGGAGAACAATTCAAAAAGAAAGGACAGAGGAAAGAAGGGGAAGAGGTTTTCAGAAGTTCTGGATTCAGAAAGCTGAAGCAGAAAAGGTGTCATGTCTTTAAATGATGTACATGCTCTATCTTGACGGAGTTACTTATCAACAGGAAAAGAAGGTAAAGTTGTGATGACACATTTAGCATATGGAACTTAAACTGGCTTAAGCAATTCCAGACCCCACCATATGTTCCTGACACCCTCTCTGTGCAGGTGTGACTGCTTGGTAAATTGCATGAGGGAACAGAGCTAGATAAGAAGAGCCTAGCCAGAAAAAGTAAGAATTTGTTCACTGAGAGGCTACACAAAACATTTGTGCTGGAACAATGCAGGGTAGCAGTGGTGAGTGTGAACACTCTTGCATAATGAGGACTAGGAGATAATGAAGCTAGTACTGACACCAGAAGAAATATACACCAAACTATGTCATAAAAGCAGGTAAGTAGGTTTCCATACACCTTAAAGACATTGACCAAACTGGCTGTGCGGGACAAAGCCTTCAGTAAAATCACATTATTTTCCAGGAGGGCTCTTTATCACCTGTAGGGAAATTTATGAAGGAAAATGGTCATACAGTATTGCTAGACAAGTTGGACAATCCTGACTGGCTTGCTGCACTGCAGTTGTCCTTGAAGTCATCTTTGAAGCCATATAAGGCAAAACCCTTAGTAAACAACAGTGTTAGCAATATGTAGAACAGGATGCTGCAGCCACAAGGGGGGAGTGCCCTCAAAGTTGCCTTGTGGGACGCTTACGCTGTACCAATGAGGAGTCAGCTGTGGCTTGTGAACTGAACTCAGGGACCAATCATGAGTTGTTATTGAGTGCGTGATTGTTGCATGTACTACATTTATGTTATATATACTGGCCAGTTGCCTAATAAAGTTGGAACAAGTTTTTAAATCATATTGGTGTGTACGCTTGTTACCCAGTCTCTACCCCTACCATGACAAATGGCGCCCGAACAGGGATGCCTCCCCTTTTAACTACACATTGATCAGGGAGTCAGCAGTGCTAGAAGGTGGACAGGATAGAAGCAGTGCAGAGTAACCCAGCAGCAGGATGTAAAGATGTACTTGTGGAGTAGGAGACAACACTGGCCAGGTTGTCCTCTGCGAAGGTAAGCCGTGATGACGTTAGAAACGGACACAGCGATTTGACCCCTTGCTAGTATTCTTTCTAAGAGAGGGAGAAATGTGAGTCTCACTGATTTAACAGACTTGGTTCATTGGACTCAGAAGCGAGAATATTGCCTTAGCCCTGACTTGTAGTTCAAACTCCAAGAATCGAGAGAAGTGGGAGATGCATTGTGGTGGAGTACCATAGAAGGCAGAAAGGCTGGCAAAAAGGCAAAAGAACTGGGACCCGTATGGTGGGAGGTGGTTAATGCATTAAATGAAATGAAAGCGGAATGCAAGGTTGCCACAGCCGCCGTGAAGGCACTGCAACCAGAAATGCAGACTAATGATTTGTCTAAAGCAGAACAGGGGCATGCTGCGAGGGTCTGTGGGCTTACTTCAGCAGTGTTTCCTGTTTGTGGGATGTTGGGTCCGGTAGCATCATCCCTGGCTGAGACCGCTGCATGCGTAGAGGGAGGATGTGAACGCTGTGAAGTCAAAGAACCGACTGAAACAAAGCCGGAAGTACAGACAGTAGGAGCGGCTAAGGAGGGACTTGTTACACATGGAAAGGAGGCGGGGACTGGAGCATCAAGTGGCCGCCCCAAGTTGTTTCCTCCCCTTCCTGCTTTGGGTCCGCCTACTTCCTTCTCTACGTCATCTAATCCCATGAAAGAACATAATATGCCCACGAAGGCGCCACTGAACAGCAATCTAGAGACTGACAAAACCATACATCAGTTCATAAAAAGACTTGAAGAGTTGCTTGGACCGTCACATGTGGATACAAACCCTCCTGTTTCTACCATACGGTGGGGCCCTAGGAACACACATGAAGATCCTTTGCCACATCCCCCAGTGCCTCCTCAGCCCCCACCAGCTGCCGCAGAATGACGCCCCCTTCCGTGCAGTACACCAAACTCCTCTCAAGCCTCTGGAACTGATCCTTTACAATGCCGATGGTCCGGAGTGATGAAAGAAGCGCTACTAGAAGGGGACTGGCACATGGCCTGGCATACACTAGCCAAAGTGTTAAAGTCTTTACGTGAACATGGAATATCAAACATAGCACAGGAATACCCAATTCCCCCACGGGACAAGCCGTGGTAGAAAAGACTAACAGGATTGTAAAGGAATACCTAGAGAAACAAAAGAATAATGACGAGCTTGACCCAACGCAAAGACTAAACAAAGTGTTGTTTACCTTGAATTATCTTTGTATTACAGAAGGAAGAGAAGAGCCTCCTGTCTTTATTCACCATTCGAGAGTGAAAGCTGGCCAACCTCACTCTTTACCCAGTTTCTTTGTGCATTATAAGCACCTGCGCACCGGGAGATGGGAGGAACCAGCTCCAGTTCTATTTAATGGTTAAGGGTGTATGTGTGTCTCAACAGGTGAAGGACCACTGTGGGTACCAAGTCGTTTTACCCATGCTGCATGTCCACCAGAGAGGAGCGCACCCTCTGGAGACAACAAAGACACCTCGGAGACCTCACCTATCACACTCAACTAGGACTTCAGCCTTGGCAGATGTCCTCAGAAGTTTTCAGCTGGAAGAGTTTAAAATGATGAGAAGGTTGTGTCTGTCAAGAGGAGATGTCGGTGCTGCCTTCCTGGGACTGGAGGACTGAAAAGAAAAAGGAATCCAAATCATTTGATACAGGCTGCTTTTGACTACTGACACAGTCTGCTGTACCCTGGTGGTGGTGGTAGAACAGAACAGTTTCTCCTTCTTGGTTCTGTGATATTACCACAGTGGGATCACCATGAATGTGACAAGTTTATTCTCCTTTACCAGCCCAGCAGTGAAGAAGCTGTCGGGATGGAGACAGGGTAACGAAGAAGAAAAACGGGCAGAGAAAGCTGTTGATGCACTAGTGAAAAAAACTGAAGAAGAAAAAGGGTGTTATGGAGGAGCTGGAGAAAGCCTTAAGCTGTCCCGGTCAGCCCAGTAACTCTATCACAATTCCTCATCCCTCAGACGGCAGGCTTCAGATGTCACACCGGAAAGGGCTCCCACATGTCATTTACTGTAGAGTGTGGCGCTGGCCAGACCTGCAGAGCCATCACGAACCGAAACCACTGGAGTGCTGCGAGTTTCCCTTTGGTTTAAAACAGAAAGAGGTTTGCATCAATCCCTACCACTACGGGCGGGTAGAGTCCTGTCCTTCCTCCGGTGCTGGTCCCAAGACATAGTGAGTACAACTCCCAGCACAGCCTCTTGGCCCAGTTCCGCAACCTGGGACAAAACGAGCCCCACGTGCCATACAACGCTACTCCATCATGGAGTACAGGAGTAAAGGCCTGGGATGGAGGCCTGGGTATTATCAGACTTGCAGGATTAATCCTAAAGATGCAGGCCTGATAGCTGCACCTAACTGCCCACCCTTCTCATGACACTAAAAAATCAAAAGTTCATAAAGAAGGTATTGAGAATGAATTTAGAAAGTTGTGGATTGCTCTAGAAGGAACGGGAAAGTCCCACCAATCTGGGATCTAAAGGCAGTTGTGGTTATTCCAGAAGTGGTTTGAAGTGAAGTCCCATCTGAGAATGGGAGATTTCTTCTTCAGAGGTCATCTTTCAGAGACCTACTAACTGGTGGAAGGAAGAATTTTTTAATTCGACCAGGTTGTCATGTCAGGGCCATGGAATTGTCAGCTTTCAAAAAGATAAAATAAGTAACAAGTGGATTGAATGTTATAGGGGCGTTCCCCACAGGAAGCTCATTACTGCCTTACAATTAAGAGCTAATGTCTACTCCATGGGGGAATTTCTAGCGTGGGTTGAGAGGAAACTCAGTATCTGTCAGCACTGTCAAGCTGAGAGTGAGACTTGCACACATATTATTGGGTATTGCCCAGCAGTTTGGGAAGTCAGGATCAAAATACATAATAACTGCATGATGTACTGGCTGAGGAAGCTCAAAAGGATTGTCTAGTGTTTCATGAGCCACTCCTATGAGTCCACCACCAAAACTAGCTCTACAAGCCTGACATAATATTTATTAAGGGTGGTCAGGCACTGGTCGTGGATATAACCATTAGATATGAAGGCAAATTATCATCACTTGCTAGCGCAGCCACTGAGATGGTGAGGAAATATCAATACCTTAGGGAGCAACTCCAGGAGGTGACATGCCAATGATATAGAGTTCGTCAGATGCCCCAATGGAGCATGTGGGAAGTGGTATGGTGGCAATTTCAGGCTTTTATCTGACCTTAGGCCCTCAAAAACCCAACAGGAAAAGGCGGCTCAATTCTTCCCCAGAAGGGCTTTATTCACAGTTGTAGGTATTGTACATATCTTTGTGAGTCATAAGCAAACTAGTGCATAAAATTAAAATAACTGTAAATAAATTACATTTGTGCGTTGTCACAATCTAGGGAAACAGAATCTTGTCAGAAGTAAGGGAGACAGGAGGGATAGTAGTCAGGGCCTAAAAGACACTTGGTAATCATGACATGTTACCTTACCCACTGATAAAATCAACTGGCCTTATCTAGATGGACAGGCCACCTTACTTAACCTGGAAAAGGAACATGTAAATTATGTGTTCAGTAAATAGTGGGAAAGGTGCTATGAAATTTTTGCACCAGAACACCTTACTAGACACCAGAATATCCTCCTCCTCTCTTATGTCCAGTGAATCTGGAAAGCCAATTAGACATTACCTCCTTTCCCCAGTTGGGATATTTATAATGTCTCTCTCTTTATTCTCCAACAAAAGGCATGCTCACACTGTAGTCTTCTGCTATTTAATTAAAGACAATAAGCAGGGAGACACAAATCTACAGAAAAAGTAATTATTAATTTTGCTGCCCTCAAGAGTTCTTTGTTTGCTTTCTGCCATATCCATTAAGACAGGAACTAGTAATGTCTCACAGATGAAATATATCGATTTAATGCTGGAGACGGGAAAAGAAAATATACTGGAGCACTGAGGTGCTGGCACTGGGATGGAGTGATTGCAGAACACATTTTAGTGTATGTAACAGGCCCAAAATGTGCCTGAGTCAATTGTTCATTAGACCATTAGTGTTTGTAGCAGTCTGCCTGGGAGGAAGAATATGCAGATCCCTCTCCCTTCTTCACAGGTAATTTCCTCAGTGTGGTGGTATAGCTGTTGTTATTGTAGCTTCAACTCCAGCTCAGACGCTAATAAATTCCAAGGTAGAATTTTCCATGTCCTGCTGCCAAAGAAGGGTATCAGACAGAGCTGGGAAATCCGGATCTAGGAAAACTTAAATTCACCTTCCAGATCCAGTGGAGTAGCAGATAGGATTCAGCAGCTGATTTAAAATACAACTCACTGCAGTCAGTCCTGACTTTCTGAACAAGAACATGACATATTCACAGCAAAGAAAAGTTAGAGTTAATTGGGAAACAAATTTAGCTATGGTCATACTGTTAGTCTCTTACAACTAACAACAGCTCTCTGAAGGAAGCCCAGGCTGCTATTGCAGGGCTGTGGGTGGACCCATTCATAATGGTGGAAGGTGCTGTCCCCAGCTGCCTGCCTCCAGCCTCAAGCCTGAGGTTAGCCCTGTGAAATCTCACACAGGTGCTTCTTAACCCTTTTCAGACAAAATGAGCTTATGCAGGTCATTTTTGATAACCCGATGCCTTTGGTTGCAATGGTGTGTGGGAAGAAATGCTTAGATAGGAGACAGAAACCCTCTGCAAGGTGTAGTGATGGGCAGCTGAGGACAGCCTAATGATCAATGGCTTCTACTGGTACAGCTATTTGCAGAGCTCACATATGCCTAGTAAACAAAACCTGTATAATACTTTAAAAAGTTTGTCACTTCAACTGCTATCACTGTGAAATTTTTTCACATTGTACCTGATCATTTTTCAACACCAAATTCTAATTCACAGCCAAACACCAGATGCTGTGATATGATCCTTCCCAGATGTAAGATTTCTGGAGGTTCCATGTCTACAAAATGAAAGCTATCCAGGAATATCCTATTTCATTTAATACAAGTCTTGGAAATCTTTCGTCTAGTCATTCCAGTACTATAACCATAACCAGACAGTGCAGATGTGTAGTTTCACCAGAAAATGAACAGCTATTTATAACCCAGGGAACGCAGCAGGCCAGAAGCACTAGCATAAACAAACGCACAAACAGTAAGTTATCAACTGGGAGCTTCAGAAGAACACTCTGAGATTATTCTGTCCTTTAATGCCACAGTTCTGTGACTTCATTTTCCTAGGTAAGACAAGTTTATTTGAAAGGCACTGCAGCAAGCTTAATACAGCCAGATCTATCCTGGCTGCCACAGAAAGGGAAAGAAAAGACAGATGTGACACAGGATTCTCTCCAATCATAGCTTCCTCTATTTTTTACCTGCTACCAGTGAGTGCTTGCCAAAACCCCTTCTGTGTATGTATTATGCAAGATTAGCTATTTTCTCCCAGTACTCTTATGACCACTCATCTGCTTTTGAAAGCAGAAAATCTCTCTACAACCTTTTCTCCTACTTTGTTCTAGGACACAGAATAACAGTATGTAAGTTTTAGTGGGGATTTTCCACCATCTGCAATAGATAATAGCCTTTCAAGTGCAGTGCAAGAACCAAAGTCAGAAAAATAAATTTCCGTGCCATCAAGGGAATGTGGGAAAAGGAAGGGAGAGCAATTCAGACCTGTGAGTCTGACACCTACCTAGAATAGAACAAATGATGTAAATATTGCTTCTTTTTACCATTTAAGGTAGAAACAATCACAAAACTCTGATTCCTGTACACAGTATGGACTTTGAATGACTCCTATAGTTTGATAAGAATTTTGAAAGTTTAACCAGGTCTTCACTTTGCTTTCTCTCACCTGTGTTGACAAGTGTGTTTCTTAGATTACTGGAAGACAATAATGATGTCCAAGTTTGGGGAATAAACACCTTACTGGACCCAACCACTGGTGTTCTGTTACTCAAGGATGTTTCAGATTAACAAAAATAAGGAGTCAGGGAAACTGGCTGTAGGGGCAGTAACACATACTTTATCATTTTCAATTCAGTTACTGAGTTTTCACTATCTTGCATGACTGTGTTAGCAACTCTGGTGTGCTCAGACACAACTCACGCCTTCTACTGTGGATCTCTCTGCCAGATGGACTGGAGACAGCATCTTGTTTTTACAAATACCAAACAAGCCAGAGGGGTATGCCTCAGGAGGCTTCTTTCAGGGCAAGGTAGCAGCACTCTTCAGCCTTTGGCCCATGAGTTATGCGTTTCTGAGAAAAACTGGCTGCCACTTGAACACCCCAGGAAATACAGGCCTGCACGCATTCATGTTTTCTAAAAAACTCCTGTCAGTCTTGGACAAGATGGAGCTGGGGGGCTCCTGCCTGGGGAGGTACCTTCCTGCTCCCCCAACAGAGACACTGCCCAACGCTATGGGCAACCATTCACCCGCACAACCCCTGCCAGGAGCAACCACCCACACGGCTGCCGAGGAAGGAGCGAGTTGGCTTCCCCCACCAGACACCTGGGAGGCGCCCCACGCAGCCAGGCCAGGACCTGCGCCACGCAGCCCCGCCCTGACGCGGCCGGCCCAGCGCCCCGCCGCCATCGCGCAGGC